TTAGATAGGAATGTTAATTATTTGTTACTATTATGTCTAACAATTTTATGAAGATACAATTTGTCAAAATCAAAGTCAAAATGTAAGTCAAAGTTTATTAAAATTAGAGCTCATTCAACACATTTTGTCTATGTAACATAGGTATAGGCTTTTGATTGCGAAATTAAATAATTAATTTTTCGGTTCTCTCGCTCTATTTGGTCGTAAGCTGAGGCCAAAGCAACCCTTCATTTCAGTTAAGTACCATTTAATTCAGTTTTTAGTCAAAAGATGTAGATAAGTATAATGAAAATAGCCAGTGAGTCAAGAAGAATCGTGATATTCATTTTATTTGACATAGGTCGACAATCAGCAGGCTTGCCACCTGATGGTAAGCGATCGGTGCTGCACATCCCGAATACCAAGAAGTTACTAACATGCTTTTCCAACCTGTCCTTTTGGTGGATAAGAATTTGAAGGTATTTGGAGATTGAGAGGATTGGCTGGCCAGTAACCCCACTCACGCGACGAAATAACGCAAGTGTTATGAATAACCTATTTAAAGGTACAGATAAATATCTGGTCAGTACTCGTATTATATATATCTTGGCCTCAAATACTATGTACATAGTTCTTTCATAAAAACTTTGTTACAAATATAAGCAACAGTCTAATAATCAAATACAATTATTCTCCTTTCAGCTACTTAGTTACTCTTAACACAAATAAGAAAAAGGTGTTCAATCTTACAAATACAAGAATAAACCAAATTCATATTTACATTCCTAACTAATTAATTGATTAAAAACTCTTTAATGATTATTTGTATGCCCAAAAAATAGGTTGACCGTAGCGCAGTTTAATTTAGAAATGACCAACCAAATGTACCTATTTATCATAAACTAGCTATTCCCGCGCGGTTTCCCTCGGTGCTCTGCACCATTTAATCGTAGCGTGATGTTTTATAGACTATAGCACTCAGGAATATTATAGCTATAATAAACTATCAGTGAAAGAATTTTGGAAATCCGACCATCGGTTCCAAAGATTACCCCCTACATACAAACTTACAAACATACAAACTTACAAATTTTGCCTCTTTATAATATTAGTATTGATAAGTGTGGGATAGCCATGCTCGGCTCGACCGGAGTGATACCACGGCCTGACAGAAGACCGGCGTGAAACAACCACAGCGTTGTGTTTCTCCGTGTGAGTGGGGTTACCGGAGGCCCAATCCTTTCCCGCCCCCAATCCCTCCTCAATCCCTAATCCCTAAAAGGTCAGCAACGCTCTCGTAAATCCTCCGTTGTGGGTGTCCATGGGCGGCGCTGATTGCTTACCATCAGGTAATCCGTCTGCTCGTTTGCCGACCAATTACATAAAAAAAAATATAAAGGTTTCATTTCCTTTCAAACCCAATTAAATAGACATACAGACTAACTACACTAAATAAACTCTACAAATACCACACTTAAGATTAATGCATTCGTTTCTTTCTTCGTTTAAGTGTAAATAGGAAAGCAGTGGAAAAGCGCAACGGCCCACGAACAATTTCAGAAGGAGCATTGATTTTAATTGAGGCTAGAACTCGCACGAATCGCCACGGTCTGGTGGGCAGCAGTGTTTTTTTAAACTAATAGTAATACCGAGGCATATGGCTACTTCGAATGCCAATTACTTACTGCCATTACTTGCCAATTAAAATATCTGTTTACTTTATATATACGCTCTATTTATTATGGGGTTATTTCAGTTCATTTGCTGTGTTAAATATACGTGTTTAGTGTAAAATGGTTTTCAAGTTAATTGTTGATTTTCATCACAATTATTGTCTTTGAAGATGACAGTCCACTATTGAACTATCGGCATCCTTTGCTTAACTCTCATCAAGTGTAAAAGAACATGTTTGATTTGATGAGAATATACCACTGCGTTACAGTAAGCCAGCATTAAAAGCGTTGTGTTGCGTTGTTGTCAAACAGTTGACAACGCACTTGTAACTCTCCGGGCGTTTTCAGATGGGGGTGCAAGTATAATAATATACCGTGGCATTTGAATCGGGAGAAGAAACAGGTCGGCTTTTAGCCAAGTCAAAAATACTCTTCTGGGGTTGCGGGTATCCATCTTCAATGGGGCTGTGCGTGTGCTTTTACCTACCATAAGGTAATCCGTTTACCCGTTTGCTACACTGTCACGTATATAAACACATACACACACACATTTAGTGCGCAGTTTTAGATAGTAAATTCTACGTAAAGGAGTTTGCCATTCTCTCTATGTCCTTACCCTTGGTAGATGGATTAGAAATCGCATATTAAAAGGTTCAAATAATAATATCTGCCTCAAAGAGCCAATAGACCACCACAGACGGGGCCCTACAGGGCTGATGTTCAGCCAGAGTTGCGGTGCAATGCGCAATAACAAATATACATTCAAACATTCTCACAAACTTTTATTTAATATTTATTTATACTTCATACACAATTTAGTACGTACATTAGGCGGACTTAATGCATGGAGCATTCTCTACGAGTCGACCTTTGTGTGATGCAGAGAATCCAGTAGTAGATGCAAGAAGCAAGCGAAATAGAATAATCACATCATCACCAAATCATCAGCCTATAAGTGTCCACTGGTGAGCAAAGGCCTCTTTTCAAAGGTTTGAGCATTAACCACCACGCTTGCTCAAGGCGGATTGGCGATTTCAATCTTATAATCAAGAATTATAAGTCCAGGTTTCCTCTCGATGATTTCCTTCACCGTATGTCAGAGGTGTCTCAATAAACTTAGAAAGTACGTATAAATTGGAAAAAGTCACATTGGTACTTGCCAGCATTCGAACCTCATGCATCTTAACCTCCGGGCTACAATGACATTATTTAATTATATTAGTATCTACGTAAACGATTTTCATCTATAGTTAATAAGAGAAACTGTTCGATATAATTCATGGAAAATAAGGAAAACAATGAAAAACGTACCTAACTAAAAAGCTAAAGAAAATGACTAAAATATTAAATTTATCAGCAGCTAAGTAGATATAACAAGTTATCGAAATGAGAACGTATTTCTATCGAGTTGTCGATAGTGATAAATGTTCATAATACACAAAAAGTTTAATATTCAGTATAGGAGAACCATGCTTCGGTACGAATGTGTTCGGTACGGTTTTACCACGGCCTTACAGAAAACCTGCTAAAAAACAAAACTTTTACACGTCAAATTATATGTGAAAAACTAGATGAAGCCGGCATTTCCTATCTGACTGAGAGCAGTCTCAGAGGAGAAGAAATGCCGAAACAAACTCAGAGGTCAGTCTCTTTTCAAGCCCAGACAATGTAAAATAACATAATATGAGAGAACCGTGCAAGTTCATTCTGTAGTGGTCTTTTGAGGAAAGAACCACACCAGTTTAAGTGGACCCGTTCTGAAGACAGGCACGCAAGTGTCAGTTTGCAACCAGTATAGCTAGTGCTGCTGAGTTGTCCGACGAACAATACCAATCAAAAGAACATTTGGGTGGGTCGCGCAAGTACTCAAACTGTCAGAACGCAGATGACTGGTGATCAAAAAGCACGGCAAGTCTCACACGGTCCTTACACTAACAATAATATAAAATAATAAAAATGTCAATAAATAAATAAAAAAAAATGTCAAATAAAAAATTAAAATGTCAATATATGCTATTGCATATATTGACATCAGTAGTACTAAACTAAAATCTACTTTCTAAGATTATTTAGATTTTTATGCGGTGTAGGAATACATCGTGAGGAAACCTTGACTTATAATATCCCTGGCGATTAAAGAATGAAGTCGCCTGATGTTTACAATAATGGAATAATTTCGAAAAACTTCGTATGAACTTAATTGAGCAAGTAGGTACACTATAAGTTCATGTTCGTATTAAAGCATATTATTGACATTGGTATCGGGATCATGGTTTGTTTTGGTTTTCTGGACGATAACTATTAACCCATAATATGACGACCGAAAATAAAATATAAATTATAATTTTAGTAATGGGTTTATCAACGCAACAACCTCAAAAGCATCGACAGCCATCTTAGGAGCCTGGCGTTAGGACGATGACTCAAGGGCTTGATACAGTAGGCAGTCCTCCTTGAAACGGCACGTTTAGTGAAATTTTCATCTCTGGAGTCCTAACCACCGGTAGCTTGGACTCTGATCTCATTACTAGTTCGGCCCCTATTTTTAAATAGGTATTTTATATTGTTAAGTTAAATGAGGATTGTTTTCTTTATTTTTGGTAATATTTAAAATGTTACTTTTGGGTAGTTTAAAGAAATAACGTAATTATTAGTCGGAGAATAAAAGGAATTGAAACTAACGTTATAACTACATAGTACAAAACAAAGTCGCTTTCTCTGTCCCTATATCCCTATGTACGCTTACAATACACAATACGCGTACGATTTTGATGAGGTTTTTTTTGAATAGATAGTTATAATATATTATATTGTATGTATCAACTCACAATAACAGCGTAACACGTGCCGATCATTTTTACTATAGCAAAGATAAGGATTTTGATAATGCCAAGATAAGTTATCCATGTGATTTGACTAAATGACGTGGTGCTAGGAAATAAAACAAATGATAGCCGCCAATGAGGCTATAGACCTAATAGTTTATCACCTGAAGTGGCTATCAAGGCTATCGAGATATTTGTTATATAACCTCACAAATTTATGAAAGATAGTGTACTGAAATATGTTTTTCAGAAGGCTGTTTCATGCTTATGTTTATGTATTTATGATGGTTTTTGTGAAACTGAAAATTGAGTAGTTGTATTTTTCTATGTTTGAATGTTGTTAAGTTCATATTGTTGTTATATACCTTGTTCACATTAAAATAAACTATTTGCGTCTGATATTGAAAATTACAGTAAAGTATATCAACATCCTAAATCACGTCTGATTGTTAACGTAGTTGAACAATAGCAGTATGTAGTACGGCACGAGCAGTACACTAAGTTACTTTCCCTCAAGTGTATCATGTTTCAGGCAGTCACAGCGCTGTGGCTACTGGTGGCTACTGTGTACTGGTGCCCCGCGGTCACCGCGAACACGTTCCGACCAAACAGTAAACAGACACTTCCACTCAAACGATATGACGACAGTAGCAATCTTTGGAACTCTGTAATCTGAGACAACGAATATCTGTAAGTGTCATCAGTGCGTCAGCTGATTCCGACTTACGAGTCATTTGCAAAGGAGTACTCTAAGCCAGCTCCTGCGACACAAAGCAGCTGATAAAGAGGGCTCCGAACAAATCCTAGGTTCCAGTAAGTCGAAAATCATTCAACAGCTAAAGTTGGTGAATGTGAGAGCGTGGTGGCGACGGAGCGGGGCGCGGGGCGTCGCGTCGCGTCAGATTCGCGAGGAGGCTTCCGCGGGCGGGGTCAGCGACCTCGCCCCCCGCGCCGGCGCGCCCGCCAATGTCAGGGCCGGTGCAGCCGCGGTCAGCTGACGTCTGGGGACGCGCGGGGGACGCGACGCCGGCCCCGAGCTGCAGTCGACTCCCGGCCGGCCGCCGAGACGCACGCTCTCCGGCACACTCGCGCTATAAATAGGAGCAGGCGACGGCAGCGCGCGCTACTCCGGCGCCGGGCTGTGCTTACGAGTCAGGTACCTGAAGTAGCGCGCGCGGCCGCCGCCACCGCGCCCGCCAGCAGAACCAGTCCAGTAGCCCAGCCGCCGCACGCCCATTGTACTTCATCAGGTGCTCTGGTGATGATGGTTCCAGGCGCTTGTTGGAGTACACTTACCGTGTCGGCGGTAGTCGTCGGGCGCGTCGGATGTGTGGACACGTGGTGTGGAGCACGTGGCCAGGGCGAGGAGGTGAGTAGCCGAGCTGCGAGGAGACAAAGGCTGCGGTGAGTCACGCGGTAATCACGGCGCCGGTTGTCGACCGCTGCAGGCTGCACTCCCCGCCGCACCCTCGCCCGCCCCTCCCTCGCACCACCCTCGCACCTAAAATCGCACGTACCTACATTTGCATTGGTCATCGAACTCCCCACCGAAAGATATGAACAAAAGCAGCTCAAACTGGTTTTCGCATGTTTTTCGACAGCAGCCGCCAACCGGCGCCGCGCCGTTTTCCTGTACGAATTATGCTCTGTGTCCGTTCTGTGTGTCATCACCAATTTTTCAGAGGGACTCGCAAAAGTGTGTTCAGTATTAAAATTGAGAAGATTCCATGCTAAACAGTGTCTGTAGCGCTGGGAGGAGTGTCCAGGTCGCAGGCTGCGCCCAGCAGCCGAGTCCGTGCGGACGGCTTGTTACTAATTTCCCACTACAGTCGTTACACTTCATGTTTGCTAGTCGAATTTCGCGTGACGTCAGATAGACGCGTACATATTTTCCACCAGCGTCGTCTCTACCAAGGTAATTTCGAAACGTTTATTGCTTTACTTTCGAGTGCGAGTCGGCACCGCAACGATAGGTTTGCGAAAATTGTGCTGGTACGAAATTCGACTGTATGTACCTTTCCATAGAGATCGGATTGCGTGCAGTTTCACGTAAATGTATCTTTGTCAAGATAAATAATAATGCAAACAGCCAATAAAAATACAAGTCTCGGGTGGATGACTCAGAGGAATGCGTCTAATTGTTGAAGTGAACACAAAGAATTTATCGTGTTAGATTTCAAATTAAAGTGAAACGCAGTCGAGTTGCGCTGGTACTGTCAATCGTTAATGTCGACTTAATAGGTGCCTACGCAATCCTCACACGATACTTCTGGAAAATTATCATTCCAATAGTCTACGAACTGTTTCCTAAAATATGAAAGTTATAAAACGAAATTTCCCAATGAAAAAAGGAGTGTTAACTTAGGATTGCCTTTTTAGAGTTGTGGTTCGAGTGTCTTACTTACCCTTCAAACGTTTGACCTTCAGGAGAGCTGTAGCTATCTAAAATTGGCACACAAATAAAGCGTTATTGAGAGGCTAAACTTCGAATTTAAATTACCAAAGCGAATTTGTCTACACTAAGTTTGTAATAAAGTTATATTTCTGCTAGGCCTCCAACCTTGGAGTGACGACATAGGCTGTACGTCAGTGTTGTCCAGACATGTCTATGTGTTGAGCGTCGCACGACAAAGTTGACTAATGACTCAGACCTCTGAAACTGCTCGCTTCTCGAACTTATGGCCTGTGACTCAATCATTTTCTGCTATACCTAAGTAATGTTATATTTATAGTATTGAAACTGTTGGGTTTCATGTACGCTGTTGTCTTTATGCCCATTTTGCTCTGTTGCTAAGCAACGTCGTTAACTTGTTTCTTTCTGTTTTTTTATCATTTGCAACGGGCTTTGATTTTTAGCGTTTAATATGCTAAGCTTTGTAATTAGTTTTTTAGATCAGATAATCTTATAAAAGATATATTTCAAAATATTTTGGTTCATTGTTTGCCTTCTAAGTTTAGTGAATCAACCACATTATAATAATAAAGCTTATTTTCCTCTGAAGGTTACTCAGAGGTTTTTAGTGCATCCACTCTTTATAAGTTATATTTTTAGTCTCTTTCGCTTTAGGGCGAGCTTTTGCCATATGATTTGAACATATTCTGTCACTACCTTTTTTACTTTATAGAATGCAACAATAGATCTGAAACTTTCTTCAAAATTTTATCTTTTCCAAGTCGACGTTTTTATAAACAGAATTTGAATGAACCTCTTTGGACATAAAACTTCGCGCATCATAAACACAATGGCTATGACGTCTTTTCACGATTATTTTCAATTTGTCTATGAAATTGTGTTTCTAAATTGAATTTAGCAAAAAGTACGCTCACGATTTCTTTTGTTTTTGTTTTTTTAGTGTATGGTTTGTTGTTATTTAATATTATCTATAATTATGTGCTATTGAAGAAATTGTTTTACTACTATATTTTATTTAGCGTGTGAAAATACGAATATTGACACGTTAAGCGCCATGGGGGTCACCGGTGACCCCCATCAGCGGAGGATTTGCCTTCAAGAGTATTCTGTCGGCAGTCAAAGGCTTATTAAATATCTAAACAGATTTTCCACCGTATCCATAAGTACAACTGATTCCAATTAGAATCACATTCACAGAATCTTATCAAAAATTACCTGAAATAAAATTGGTACATAAAAAGCCGTTCACAAACATTATCAATACAAAAAAATAAGAAACAAAAACCAATTTCACGTACCTTATTAAATATATGTAGGCAAGAAGGCACTATGTTATAAAAACCAGCCTAGATTTTAAATTCATTTTAGCTCCTCTAATATGTTTATTAAAATCTAGAAATAATCATAAAATTATAAACACAAAGGTAAAAAATATACTTTCATTCTTATTTCTTTTAGGTAACCAATATTAAGTTAATAAATTTTTAATGAAGAGGCGATTGGCTTCTACTGGTAATTCAAATTAGTAGTATTTCTAGGTCGCGTCGCGAATTCTTACAAGTTTGTGTTTCATGTTCCGATACTGGGTAACTTGTAGTACACACTGAGCAACTAAATGTGGCGCTACTTGTTGGCCGATATTTAAAAATCGAATTGAAAAAATATTTTTTATTAAATCTCATTTTAAATATATTTTTCTTTCTTAAATGGCAACCGAGTGCTGATGCCGATGCTGCCAGTGTCAAGTAGTTGTAATGTACATTTATGTATGTATTTATGTATAAGTGAGTCACTAGCTAGGTAAAATAGTAATTTGAAATGTTAAGTACAGATAACAAAACAATTATCACATAGATCATAAAGGTTTTAATTGGAAAAAAGACAAGAATTTTAATGAATTTTCCTTTCACAAAATCTTATTAAAATCTAACTAGAAACTGTTTTCTTCATGATTGTACGAAAACCTTTTCAAAGTTGTTGAATAAATTAAAAAAGCTTACGTTAGTCATACTTATGATGACTAGGCTGATGGTCACAACGAAAAAAAAAAAATTAAAACGATAATGTGGTTCTGTGTGAATAAAGCTTTAGAATCAGAACTGCAGAGAAAATGTAGGTAATCATTCTAATCAATCAATGTTAGGAGGCATGATTTGATTTTAATTAGGTTTTCATTGATTACTAGAACTGTGTTTAGATTTATATCAATTTAGTTCGTATATTGGGATGAAAAGCAAATTTTCCGACGGAAAAGGGTATCCAAAAAAAGAAAATTAAAAGAGTACCTAACCATGGAGTTTTTTTGCTCGTTCTTCTTCATAGGAATCTACACTTTGGGACGAGCAAATAGCTTCACTAGAGGACAAGCCGACAGACTGACACAAAAAGTTGATTTTTTTATATTGTTTTTTTTTATTTAATAGTCGTATACCTATTTAAAATATTTTTTTTGATTTTGACTAATCTACTTAATATTTTCCTATCCTAAAAATAAAATTAATACAACAAGAGAAAATCAGTAACATTTCATTTTTCAAAATTTATATATTATAAATTGCCAGATTTTAGTATAAATTGCCAGATTTCAATTTTTTTTTTATTTATGTTTCAAATGATCACTTCATATTATATTGTAAATTATATTAAAATAATACATTTTATAAGACTAGACAATATATAACTCGTCTACAAATAATTATTATTAATATAATTATTCTATAAATAATTATTATTTTCGAGTTAAAAATAGATGATTTGCAAACCATAAAAAATCAATCGACGCGACTTCAACACTGAATTGCAAATATTTGCTTTAGTTAATCTATCAAATACTTACCAGATAGTCAAAATATTTATTTAGCCTCAATAAACCAGTTTACACTGGTTAGACTGAAAGTTAATCAGCAAAATTGAACCTTATTTTTTTTAAAGACATGCCTGGCCATGCCAAGATATATTCTAAAACACTTTTGCAACTCTAAATATTTAGCGATTATCATTATAAGCTTACCGCGATAAGCCATATGATCAATTATAAAAAAAAATACAACCATGGTAATTGCTGATCCAAATCCTGTGGTAGATAAGTATGAAATGGTAACGGGGTCCAACCGTTCATAGTCTGTTTAAAGACATTTCACAACTCCTTACCGACGAAAAAAGCTGGTCTGTTCTAAAGTTGAGATTAAGCATCGCCATACAGCCGGATCGGATAAAAAACTTAAAATTAATACCATAAAAAAGTAAAAAATATTCATTTCAAATAGACCACAACAGGCACTTTAGAACGTCAAACAAAAAAAATACCAAAAGGTTTAACTTTATGCGTATCAGTCTGTCCGTCAGTCCTCTAGTGAAGCTATTTGCTCGTTCCAAAGTCTAGATTTCTATGGAGAAGAACGAGCAAGAAACTCCATGGTTACTCTTTTTCAATCAGTTTCACAATTCATTGCTTTGTTACATCATTTAGTCAGTTATGTGAGAAAATTATGTCATAAAATCTGTGTTTTGTTTTGTAAATTGTTGATTCACTCAATCACTTGTCTTGTAAAGTCATCAACTCAACTCATTTTCTTAATAATAACTTCTCCGGTAATTAAGTGTCCATGGGCAGTGTCAACTGCTTACCACGAGGTGATTTGAGTGTACGTTTATTAGAAAAAAAGATATCATCAACTATGTCCTTTGAAACTCGAATATTCTATACTAGCTTTTGCTCGAAACTCCGTTTGCGTGGAATAGTGACTTTCTGCAGATTTTTGGTATGAAAACTATCCTATATCCTTTCTCGGGTTCCAAACTATGTCCGTACCAAATTTGACAGAAATCGGTTCAGTACTTTAGGTGTGAAGAAAAGACAGACAGACAGACAGAGCTACTTTCGCATTTATAATTATTATAGTTTGGATTACCAATATCCAAATTTCTCCTAAACGGTTTCAGCGTATATCTACAGTATACCTACAGTACTTACAAAAATATATTCGACCAACCGACGGAATCCATATCAGTAACGATACGGCGAAATTCTAAGATGGCGGCGAAAGTAGGTCAGATTAATATTAGTCTTGTATAACTAGAAGCTAAAATAAAAACTAGACATAAAATAGGCAGGTAACTTTTAATATTATCATAGACTGGTTATTCATTCGAGTAACTAATTTATTCGTCTAGAATGTTCAAAAGAAAATACTCTTAAGATTTTAGCTAAAAAATCAATGCTTATAAGGTCTTGAATAAATTTCGTTTTACATAAATATTACATTAGGTTTAGGTTCTTTGTTATTTTTGTTCTCCATTACTTTCGGCTTTATAAGCACTTAATTAAAAAACATAATATGGCCAATTAGTAGGTATAAAGTCAAGCCTTAGCAAAGTTTTTGAAACGAACACGTTTAAAAGGAGACAGGTTTTCCATATTATTATAGATATAGAATACATTTTCCTATTTCATTTATTTGCCTTAAAAATATACTAATGTTGTTTCGCCCTCAGCTGGTGATGGAAATCAGATAAGTAGCCATAATACAATAAAGATGATGACAGGCAAAATAATAAAAAAGTATTTAATCCGTCTGTTCGATAGTGATGAAATATTAAACATGTACTTTTGTTGTATTATAATATATAAATTAAAAAAAAAACATTTATAGAAAATTTTAAATTTAGAATTCAGAGGTCTATCTACTACGTCACAACATAGTATAAAATTTATTAATCTTAACGTCACACGGTAATTTTTAATCTATCTATTGTTGAAAGGACTCGGTCAGGTATAATAACACAAATTACGTGTAAATTAGATTTTTGGTAATGTTTTAAATTAGATATAGTCAGAAGGGCATAACGATAGCCATCATTCCCGTTATCTTCAAATAAAAAAATGAGTCAGTGATTTTTCTTTTGTAATGGCTGCGTTGATGCGACCTCAGATGGAGCACGCCTACCTATAAGCAACCTATTCCCTTAGGCCTTAAAGACACTTATGTGGCTCAAATATTTTCATTGTCTAGCTGACTAACTAATATATCCCTCAAATAATATAAAATAATCTTCACCAATTTAGCCGTATTAATAGTTAATAGTACAAATATTTATATCATAATTTACTATCAGGTACTACATTTAAAATCTCACGTAAGCCTACACCGTATCACCAAGATCGCTGAGTCATGACGTCAAACATGCGCAAGAGTTGAAACACACCTCTCGACACAGCAGCGCTATCTAGTGACGTATTCAGTCAAAAAACCGTTTACTTTTATCAATTTAGCAATGTTTACTGTGGCAATATTATTTCCGCATTCGACTAGTAGACAGTCAGTATTTAAAAAATATTATTTATTTTTTAAAATAATGTAATGTAATTTAATGTAATGTAATGTAATTAA